TGTTACTTTTAGCTGTCATGTTACACTTATATTAAAGTTTTTCTTCATTACCCATTTAAGCCGTCTCCAGCCATTATTAGTCTCAAAGTGGGTTCCTCGTCATCGAATTTGAATACGGTTTAGAATTGTTATCTGCAGAATATAGAATTGACACTTTATTATCTGATATATTCTTTCACGCTCCTGAGGATTCTGTGATGTACAATAATAATAATAATATGTGTATTTTAACACGAAATCAGTCATTTTTTCACGCTTTTGAAAACACGACTTGAATAATTATTTTGTGTACGTATGTCTGAGAGCACATCTTACAAAACGACAAAAGTAAATGTATTAAGGCTTAGACAATGTTTGTCCTTTTTGTAGAAGTGAATATTTTTATTATTATTTTTATTTGGCTGGTACAAATCTGTAGTTATTTTCCTAAATTTTAAGGAATATATATATATCAACTTATTCTCCCGCAGTAATTCCTTATTGTCTATATATTTTAATCTACTTCCTTTCTCATACTTGGCACTTTTAATCACTTAACCTTCGTTATAACATTATACTTACATTAACAACAGAGTAAACACTTTCAATATAAACAACAAATAAAACGATGAAGTTTTTTTTGGTTGAATAAATGTAGGATATGCTAACAGCTCAATAGCGGAGAATATATATATATATTGTTATGTATCTGCTTGTTTGTTAATTTCCGGTAGAAATTCTTTCCGAGAAACTTCAGTGATACAAGTCCTTTCTTGAATAAACCAGTTTATTTTTTCTCGATACAAACTTTTAGTACACAGTAATTCCACAGTCAGTACGTTTCTCGTCACTTTAAACTTAGCAACTTTTATAATACACGCTATAAATCACAGCGATTCACTCGATAACTTCGCTCTCTACGAGTGCAAAACACACACTTTACGGCTCACTAGCTCGAAACTAACAGAATCATAAATTACACAGTACTCACGGTAACTACTGTTCGCTTCCCTTTGGCTTTTCTCTGCCAGGCTTATATACTAACAAAGAGGCATCTCCAGCATTCGCGGAGTTCCCCGATTCTTCTAGAAATTCACCACGCATGCTCCCAGCGTCACGTGACTTCCGCTGTCGTAACAATATATATATAAAGAGAGATACCCAATCTTAGTGGTACTTTTTATTACCAGACAACATATATGTTGTCAGCAGGTGGCAAATGAGTACAGAAGCGAACAACTGAGCCACACCTAATAATTATTCTGGTGTCCAGTCAACATTTCAAACTTGGTACAAAGACCTTAATGTACTTAATGTACGTTTCTGAGCCACGTTACATGTTACTTTTCCAGTTCCTAACTATTGTGGCGTAAACTTCCCCTATTCAAAACTAAATATGAAAAATTGCAATATATGCATATTATATTATAGTGTACAAATTTAGGTTTGTTTGACATCACTTAGTGTATTTCAAAGAAGATGTGGGTTGAGTGCTTGTTTTTCGTATTGAATTTCAAATTTCACTTCAGAGAACTAACAAATCAGGGAAATTATTTCTGCATCGAAGTCCTCTTTTGAATCCATGAAAATAGTATTAATTATATATATATATATATACAGATATTGGTATAATACTTTAACTACCGTGTATAGTCATAAAATATCATGTGGCTTCAATTCACGAAATTCATAAATACTAGTCAGTGTTCTCTATCGTGTATGGTCACTAAATACAGTAATAAGAGGCCGCACGATGCCACTAGGATTTGCCAGTAATAAATACCATGCACGTTCATTAAATACTGTCATGACTGGTCTGTCCTCACTATTATATACGGTTATTAATTACTGTAGTGAATAATCACAAGGCTGTTCTAGAACAGATTATTACTAACCCTAATTTATAGCAACCTAACCTCACATTTCATAGCTAACTGAAATAAATACATTTTGCGAAATCAAGCTTGACCAACAAAGAGGCAGAAAAGCGCAGTCGAGGCAATCAAACGTCGGTAAATTCCTTTGTGAACAAATGAAAATTAAGATCATTCATGAAATGAATTCGTGACGTATTCATAGAATAATTATTGATAAAAATCAGTTAGATTAACAACTTCTAATATAAAAGCCAGTACGTTTTGGTAACACTACGTTCCAACAATGGCTTTTATGTCACGTTGCTTAGCAACAAAAGTATAACCTAATATCGTTGTTAGTCTATCTACTGAAAGTATAAAATGAAATGTAGAGACAACAAAAGTGAAAAAATATTTGTTGATTTCTTAATTTAGAGCCTTCGTTG